TCACACAACAGGTACACCATCACACAACAGGTATACCATCACACAACAGGTACACCATCACACACAACAGGTACACCATCACACACAACAGGTACACCATCACACACAACAGGTACACCATCACACACAGCAGGTACACCATCACACACAACAGGTACACCATCACACACAGCAGGTACACCATCACACAACAGGTACACCATCACACAACAGGTATACCATCACACAACAGGTACACCATCACACACAGCAGGTATACCATCACACACAACAGGTACACCATCACACACAACAGGTACACCATCACACACAGCAGGTACACCATCACACACAACAGGTACACCATCACACACAACAGGTACACCATCACACACAACAGGTACACCATCACACACAACAGGTACACCATCACACACAACAGGTACACCATCACACACAGCAGGTATACCATCACACATAGCAGGTACACCATCACACACAACAGGTACACCATCACACACAACAGGTACACCATCACACAACAGGTACACCATCACACACAACAGGTACACCATCACACACAACAGGTACACCATCACACACAACAGGTATACCATCACACAACAGGTGTACCATCACACAACAAGTATACCATCACACAACAGGTACACCATCACACCCAGCGTTCTTGGCTGCGATGGGATCAGCGGGTGCGGTGGTTGGCGCTCTGTGCTGCGGACCCCGGCCGGCCGAGTTCGAGTCCCGTCTCTGGCTCCAATCTGCGGCGAGTGAAGTCTGAACACGACCCTCGCATTAGCCAGCTTGGTGAAGTATGGTCAAATAACCCCCATGGCCGACATGGTGCGAGCGGTTCCCTTCATCCAGCAGCAGATTGACAGAGCTGTTTATTATTCATTATTTGTATTTTTTTTATATCAAAGCTGTGTGGTGTGTGCCGTGTGGTGGTTAGCGCACAGCGCTGCAAACCCGACGACTCGCGGTTGAGTCCCGGTCTTGGCTCACGTCAGTGGTGAGTGATATCTGAACCGGTCCTGGGCCTCCCCCGAGCTCAGCTAAGCCTTAAATGAACACTGGGTATGTAAACACAACAACACGGGGAGGGGGGGGGGTAAAGACGATCGGGTGTGCTTCAGGCCACACCACCCACTCATGCGCCCAGCCGGCCGTAGTGGGTGGGTGCGAACTCACCGCATTTGCTCCAACCACCTGTGTGGGCTAGACGGCGGACCTCGTTCTTCGAGTCGAGACGCACACGTAAACTATTGCATAGCTTTATGTTTTTTGCAATCGTGCTGTATAGTTTCCTGATATGTGTGTGTGTGTGGAAACTTCTCATGGAACATTCAACAGATTTGGGGAAACGCGGACATCGTGCCGAACAATATGCGGGATGACCCATAGACACATGGGAGAGCTGTGCTCATACCGCGTTTGACAACAACAGATCGTGAGCATTATCATTTGGGTTTCGTACGAGTAGAGCACAACAGCGAACGGGCCACTGGGCTTGGCCACGAGGCCAGTTCGGTCACGACAGCGCCCAACGCTCGCTAACCCCCAGTTCCTCTCTTGATTGGCATTCGGGAAGCGAAATGGAATAGGGACCCAAACATCGTTTTGCGAAGGACAATTCAAACAGGACGAGAGTCCTCTGAGAAACTTAAGTGGCAGGAAGTGGTTGCAGAGGGCGTGTTGACTGAAGTTGTCACCCCAGGAATGAGTTATGTCTTCCAACAAAGGGAGAGTAGAACTACAGCCCAGGTCGAGTGACTCACTCAATTAAATTGAGTGCACTTATATTTGCAAGCTATTGGTATGCGTGTGTGTCTTTGTTCGTGTTTGCGAGCACCTATGAAGGTCGACACGGCACACGAGGGGGTGAGTGTCCAGCACTTGACCCAAGAGTATGTTAAGGCTATGCGGGGGATCTTTGTCTTTGTGTTCGGCAGTGGATTTGACAGAAGGGCTATCGCATGGTGCCTATGCGTGCGATAGCGTGAGTAGAGGCACCTCCGATTTGCACAATTGGTTACGTACGGTGCGAAAGAAATTCAACATACATACATGTCGGGCGTGGTGCTGGCGAACATCAGTCTTGATTATTTGAACGAGTCATGGGCTTCCCCTAGATCAACTCAGCCTCAAATGGACACCTGGTGGAATGTATAAGAAATGCTACTGGGGGAGACCAAGGCGACCAAACGTGATGCTAGCCACTCACCCCTCGTATTCCGTGACGCGCGCAATGGGTGTTCGCTCCGAGTTTACTGAATGCTGTGTTGGGGTCTTTGTCTTTGTTCGTGGGTGGACATTGGCATACCTCTATGGCTCGAATGCTGTTCATGCTTGCATTTTGTGATATTTTTATTGTGTGTATTTTATTGAACTGCTGGGAGGTGGTATTTGTGTGTATTTCATTTGGTGCAGCTGTGTGTTTATTGTATTCGTTGTGCCGTCATCAATCACCGTGCACATTACCAGAAGATTATTGATGCTCACGGAATACCGTCGGTAGCCAGGTGGCTCTGGGCTCAGAGTGCTGAGTCAGTGTCGTAAACGACCCTGTGTTTGAAATCTGGCCAAACGACAGGGATTAAACTGATCTCTCAAGTGAACCTAATTGAAAGTCTGAACCGGCTAGTCACCACGGACTGCACACATAACAATAACAAAACACCTGAATGTTAAACATTGATTTTTTTTCACTTCATTTGGTAGATTTCAATGCTGAGAACTAATTCATCAACTGTCATTGATATCCAACGGCTTTGCTCTCCGCCTTCCCCAACCCGCTCCAACCAGCACGGGGAATGTAAAATATCCCCGAAAACCACACGGGGTGGAGTGGCCCTCGTCGAGAAGTGGATTGACAGATTTGTACATGTTTGATAAGAAGTTCTGCAAAGTTATCTTCCGAGGTCCTGATCGGGCACAGGGTGGTGCACAGCTCACTGTAAGAGCTCACAATCGAAATGTCTTCATCCAATGACAATGGCCAAGAGCACAATTTGAATAGTTTTTAAGCACATTGGTTACACAGAGCTTACCCCACTCATCATCAACTCAACTCGTAGGCCATATTCTATGTCAAGGTCACACTTTTAACACCATTCAACTGACTGGTCAAGAATACTTTAGTTCTTCCTCTGGTCGTTTTCTCTCTACTGGACCTTGCTATCTAGTGTTACAGATGACAACATGATATCGAAACATTTCCTAGGCCCCTAGACATCCATTGATCCGCATAAAAATGAGAACATCTAAATATATGTATGTTTAAAACCCAGTGCTTTACTGTCCAGTTTGTTCAAATATACGACGACTACGAGTAATGGCACAGGAAAGCATGGCTGTCCACAGGTTCCTGGACGCCCAGCGCAGAATGCCTAATGGGATTCCCTTATTAATTCGTGACGAAATAAAAATCAGGGCTATTGTGGGGCCCTCATTTGTATGAGGGCCGGGACAATTTGCTCCGTTTGCCCATCCTCTCTGGGCGGCCGTGCAGGCGAGATACGTTAACAGGAAGGGCTTTTTGCAAATACAACAATCTACAATCTCGAGCACGCAGGAACGGACGCTGCCACACTCGCCGACCACGGCTGTCAACGACCTTCGGATGAAGGAGGTGAACGCTGCTCCTCCCTAATTTTTCTGCCTTCACGCTGCGAGATGCCAGGAATTCCTGCAAGATTAATGCGAGAGACAGCAAAGGAGCCAACCTCGGGGATTTGGTACGAGACGGCGCCTTCCAAGCCTGACTCCCCGCTAGAGTGCCAGAGGAGCCTTTGATGTGCAAACAGATGTATTACTCCAGAAAACAGAGGAGGTTAGAGAGGCAGAGCGGTTGTTAAAGATGTGACCGGCCTCCCACGTTTTCCCGTGGCTCGCACACGGCCAATATAAAATTCGGGGACGCGCAAAAAAAAACGGTCGGCCATCGCGCTTAATGTTTGTTCTTCTCGTAATTTTTTTTGGTTGCTAATTTAAAATAAAAACGGGTCAGTCAATATTTTGTAAGTAAACGTGGTCTTTCAAGTAACAAAATTCGGGGGATTTTGTTCGTTCATTATCGTTTTTCATTCACTTTTTTTGCGTGTTACAATCATTGAAAAAGGAGCTCGCTCATTCATCGGCATCGCGTGTACAACAACGGCCTCACGTATCGCGCACGTTAAGCAGCTTAACACCGAACTGCTCCCGTGACCCAAGGAAGTTCTTAAGCGCGTGGAGAGCGCTAAGCCCCCTCGCGCGTCAAAATTCTTGAGCGACGGCTGCGCGCGCACGGCTCCATCTGCCCCCGCGGCAAGCCGTGTGGCCGAGCCGCGGGCTGCGCGCAAACATGACCCGCCAATTAATCCCCTTTCATCGGCAGGTGAGCGGGCAGGCCCGAGACAGCCGCAAAACAATAGGCGCTTTCTTCGGCCTCCGACAGATGAGATCGCTCCGGAGATTACCGTCGGTCTAAATCTCACGCTGCGCGTGTCGCCATTTGCCACCAATCCAGAGAAAATTGCCCATCAAGTCGTGAGCTCACAAGTAACCTCCACACATCTGCTGCAATACATGCGCGGGGGTTGTGTTGTTGTTAATTGTCACTGAACGGTGTCACTGCAGTGTATACGGCTGCTTCTCCGACAATGAAATTAAGAGAGAAATTATTCAACTAGGGCTATGATTTATGAGAGCGAAAGTACATTTGACAAAGTGAGCTCAGGCCCTTTTTGACATATATGGACACGAATTAATTTTTTAAACATTTTTCCGTTATATATTTTATATCGCAGCGTTTGATTTGCAGAACAAAGTAGTCTGCAGGCATGACCAGTCGTAAAATAAGGCTCCCTCCCGTCAGAATACAAAAAAAAACGCACCAGGGTGTTTTACTCCCATCGCTCACAAATTACAAACGAACGGACCGAACAAAAAGGTAGTCTTTGTTTGCCATAAGAAGGCTGCTGCTGCTGCTAGTGAGGGGTACTCCTGCTACTACTACTAACCCGGCATGTTGAGGAGCCCTTTTGGCCGGGCTGCCCGGTGGCCCGCTTGGCTCCCACCCGCTGACGCTATATTAAAAGGGCAGCTGATATAAGAACCAGATGTCGGGAGCTAAATTCGGAAAGCCGGCAGGCTTGACGGACATGCGGAGGCATCCCTGGGGGGCGGGCCACCCACAGACCAACGGTGTGCAGCGTGCACCGGGAGGTATTGTGGGAGGGGCGGGGTAGGGGGGGAGTTGCGAGGGAAAATTGGTGCAGTGCAGAGTCCTCTGTGCCGCTTATTGGCCTAAATAATCTTTACTTTTGAAAAATATATGTAAATGATCTGGAAAAGGGCATTTTACATTTATACATGATATGATATACTTAAAACAAAAGTATGTATAATTTTACGTTTGGAAATTTTGGTATTCTGTAAAATAAAACTAAAAGCCAACCACCCAATTCCCATAATGCACAATGCAACGTTTGTTGATTTGTTGGAACGGAATGGTGGCTGGTATTTCACATTAATTTCTATTTGGGCAGCCTACACTTAACCAAAATTCTTGACTGTGGCCTTCAACTTCTAAATATGGGATCCTGCCCTTGTTTTTTTTTATATTTGCCACGAAGGCAAGATATATTTATATATATTTGACATCTATAAAGCGGGTGGCATATGGTTAGCATACTGTACTATGAACCCAGCCAACCCAAGTTCAATTCCAGCCACGGCTAACATCAGTGGCAATGGTCCTTTCACCTACTTGCGTGAACCCCTCTCCACTCGCCTTCCTCCCACCCCGCGACTAACACAGTGAGGGAAGGCCTTAATTCAGCAGCGAATTAACACAGTGCTGTAAATTATTATTGGGTTGGAATTAATAAAACAGTATGATGAACCCATAACTGACATGGCCGAGGGGAGGCCTTTGATCCGTCATCCATCGGTTAAAAGAGAGTGGCTGTGATCGTTATTTATTTAGTTTATTACATGCCACGCATGCATAAACTCTGTATCAACAGCTCAGGCCAACTGGCAGGACAGTAAAACCTGAAGGTGTGAAAGATTCGAGCAGCGCGGTGCCACACTTTGTATTTATGTCTTGCATACGGTGCACACATTTCCGCCGTTTAAACTTTCTCAACATCATTTGGGAACCAAATCTGTGACTTTTAAATACGACAACTCTTTATTGTTTGTTTGTTTGTTTTTGGGACGGCGCAAGAGGCTGCATGCCTTGTGCCTTGATGAGTGCTCAATTCATCCGCAAATGCATCAGGCGCGTGAAGCATCCTCAGCGGATTAAATTATACCGCGTTGGACTTTTCTTTTTAACACGGACACGCAGTCTCAAAACATAAAAAAGGCCACTTCATATTTTCTACTTTCATTTCAAGGAGGCCCAGACTCACGCTGAGCCCACCAGGAAACCCGAGAGCCGAGCCCAGGTTTGCCCGTTACCCAACCGCACGCTACGCACGCCTCCGGCACACCCAGCCGAATAAAAAAAAAAGAAATGATTCATTCACGTCGTGAAATGGTCTCTGCTGAGCAGTATTTTGCAAATGTATCAAAGTTGACGGCAAACAAAGAAATATTGTGAGAGTACAGTCGGCTTTTGTGTGAAGTTTCCTCATTGAGCAGGAAGTGGGCAGGACGTGGGCAGAGAGAAGCCAATGCCTTGCTCTTTGAGCGAGGTGAAATGGCTCCGGCTCTGCGTGTTTATTTATATGGGGACTGCAGGTGCGTAAAAATCTTCCAAAAAAAATGGCCAGCTCTGTTTTGTTTTTTAAGCGATCGAGAGGATGGAGGGAGGTGAGAGGGGCGGGAATTCCTTTGTTCTAATAATGTACATGTGCGCTTAATTAGACTTTGGTTTTATAACTCTCATAAAATCAACACAAAAAAGTGGGAGAGCTATGATTGGTATGGGTGAAAATTGGCCACATTTTCTTCAAATCACACGCGCCGCATTTACAACGCAATCCTTCATTGTGTGGGCAATTGAGAAGCATGAGTGATTTTACAAGAGAGGCTTGTATAAAAACTGGAGACTTTTCGAATGCTAAACTATGTCGAGAAGCTCATATACAATTTTGAATGTTAAGTTTGAAATTTTTTTACCTAATTTTTACAATTTAGTAATTTTATTACCGTTATACATTTTCTTTTAATTTTGCCTGCAAATATCCTGGGTTTTTTTTTATTACAAACATGTTTATGAACAACTCAGCAATATGCAATACTATTATTTTCAAACATCACAACAGGTTTGCACAATAAAACCTAATTGGTGTCCTGTTTATGGGTACCAACAAAATTTACGGCCTGTATTTTAAACAGCAACATCAGAACATGCATCATAGTCATAAGCCATGATCTCTCCACTGCGAGACAGTCTCTCCAAGCCATATTTTCCTCTCCCATGATCACGTGGCACGGCAATCCATCGAACTCCTGCAACTGGATTTGATATCGTGATTCCATCTCCTCCGTGAACGTCCGCATAGTTGCGTTCCTTCCTCTGGCTGTCACGATGCACGGGTCATCTGAGCACTTGATGCCTTGCAAAATGTATCTATTTGGTGTTTGAACATATTAACACCTGTTTTATTGTCAGGAAGGGTACAACCTATTCTTATTTGGGTTTATTAAATGTTCATAATTCGCTACAGTTTTCGAGATACATTCTGACAATGTTGAGCTCAAGATTAAATATGGGCCAAAATAAACGTCACGTGCAAAATAATGTACTATGTATGTATGTATGTTGAACTTCTTTCGCACCGTACGTAGCCAACCGTGCTATTCGGAGTTATGGAGGAGGGGCAAAACACTAAACAGAAAAATCAGTTCTAAAGAAATGAGTTTTCGATCTAGAGTTAAAAGTGCACAGCTCCGGTGGCTTTATAATATTAGAAGGAAGAGCGTTCCAGACAGCTGTAGAAGGGCATCCAAAAGTGTGCGATGCAGACACCGTCTTTGTTCAAAGATATTTGTTGGACTATATGATCTAAGATATTTGTTGGACTCTATGATCTAAGATATTTGTTGGACTATATGATCTAAGATATTTGTTGGAGGAATATAACTGGACATCGCATGCGAGTATGTATCACCTAAGGCAGTTATTGAATGCAGGCCGGGATCAAAATGATGGCAATGAGAGCTGGTTAGTAGAGTGCGTTTGGAAAGCAGACCGCTTATTGACGCCGATTTGATTGACTCCAATTTCAACTCCATTATTGACCCCGATTTTATACGAAGGATTTCACCACCAACATTCCGATTCATTCGTTTGTTTGAGGCAAAAAATTACAACTTGTAAAAAATTTTATCTGCTTTTCAACATTCCAGTTTTCCAAAAAAAACTAAATCTATCGGAAAATGTGTCCATGTGACAACTTGATTTGATTGGCTATTTCGGGTAGTGGAGGGTGATAGTTAAAACAATGGCCTCTATACCTACACAATCTAACCCAAAACAAACTAATTGTCAATCATTGACCCCAACACTGACTCAAAAGAACGAGAATATTAGCGATGTAGTCGCGAATTGCGTTCATGCAGAGGATTTGGAGACACGTGGCACACCAATTGAGTCCTTGCTACATCTTAGGAGTGGTTCATAGCTGCTGTTATTTTGGGAAAAGGCACGGGCTTTGATGACGGCACCTTGAGAAGGCACAATCGCGATGCTGTTTGGATGCACAGCTTTTGAGTACGAAAACCACAGCGTGCGAAAAGGCGTAATCTACTAAGAGGACGTTATGCCAGCTGCGCTGTCTTGCCGAGGATGATGACAATCCATACGTTTTTTTTTGGGTTATATCGCGTAAATATATAAATGTGTCGTTAAAACCCACCACCACCCGACACAGCCAACTAGTAAGGGTTGTCACGTAAATAGAACATGCTAATTCGTCCCTGGTACAGCACACCGGTGTGTTGGAGAGCCCAGCCACAACATTTACAATCTGAGTACGACGTTTCGCCAGTAATTACAACAAGCTTCATCAGGCGACAGCCAGATTTGTGGAGAAGTCCACCTGTTTCGTTCCTTATATAGAGGCGTAGATGTGGTGTAATTAAATGCCTTCAGTTAACGTGTGTTTTCAACATTATTCCCTTTGTAATATGATCAGCAGCAGCAACACCAACAGCCATGATCAATCCACTGTTATATTAAGGTTGCCCTGACTGCCACCATCTCTCACAGTCCTGCAATGCAATAGCCCACAGATCACATGCCAATATCATCGATCCATCTCCACGGCAGACGTTCTCTGGGGCGTGTTCCCTCATTTGGCTGATGTTTAGTTGCTCGTATCGCCCACCAGCAATCACCCCTTCCAGCGACCGTGTCCTGCTAAGCCCACTTTCCTTTCTTAACAGGGAAGATTACGTTTTTAACCTGGCAGTGTGTTCTAATCCATGCGTTCCTCTTCCTGACTCTCGGTGTAATTCCGTGCGTAGACCTCTCCCATGCTTCTTAGAGCATTCACTCGATAGAACAGATAATATGATTTGCGATAAATGTGCGTGTACTATTCAATAAACTGCATTCAGACTACATTTACGTAACCAAGTGTCAGAGTGATACACAGCCAACGCTTAAGAGGCCCTTATCAGCCTGCGTTGCATCCTTCCCATGGCCAGATTGGTTTGTCCCTTTTTAAACTTTGACCTGCACCCCGCACAAGCCATCCTGGAGATGCTGGCACGGCCATGAATTAGCGGCGCATCTGGTTTGCATCAGCCGGCATGATGGCTTGTCAGCACTTTCCGATTGCCTCCCAGCACCCACCCAGGCGGCCACCATCACGGCCCTCTCTCCACAGTGGCCGAGACAGACACCGATTGGTCCTCGCTGTGGTAAGTAAACAACAACAGCAGCAGTAATTATTTATGCGCACATTTGTTCGATGACTCGCGCCGTGATCGTGAGCGCCATGGCGGAGAGCGAACCACGGGACGCTCGTGCGCTCAGAAAGTCGGGGCCAGCCTACGAAGCGCATCGAGATTGCGGATCGTTGGTCGAGGTCGAGGCGCGAATACAAAGAGGAAACGCACGCGCAAGATCACTGTGCGAGTAAACCAACTATACCCCAACAAAGACGTTTCTGAATGGGGCTTTATTTTCCCCGTACCAATGAGAAAATGTTTCCGCACGCGACACGCCACGTCCGGTTTACCCCCTGACTACGGATGTACTCTGTCGAACGTCTTTCGCACCGTACGTAGCCAACCGTGCTAATCTGAGGTGCGGGGAATATGTATGTTGAACTTCTTTCGCAACGTACGTAGCCAACCGTGCTAATCGGAGGTGCTGGGGAATATGTATGTGTGGATGTGAATATAGATGTAGGTTCTAATTTACGTGCCACTTACGCCAGCCTCCTACAAGCGACCTACAACATACACCCGTACCCGGCAAAACACATCCAGTAAATATCTTTCAGTACGGCCGTGGCCATTAGTAACGTTTCCATCGACTCCACCAGTTTTACCACTGACCCAGAAAATGTTCAGTGAAAAATGAAGCACTGCCTAAGCAGTGGACTGCGGGTCCCAAGGGGTCAGAACGCTCCTCGCAAACTGCGTGCTGGAGGAGTCTCACCAGGAGTCGATCTGTTACCTCCTCTCGTACTCTGCGGTATTTAATATCGTGCTGGAATGCAGTCACGGCGATGGCCAGCTCTACAACGGGATGCTCATCAATTATATCACGGCCTGCCAATTGAGGCGGATGGAATCTTTGCTCATACAAAATAAAGAGCGGTATTCCATAATGGGCATGTATTTTGGATTTTTTTTACGTTTTCTTGAATTTTTGGTTTAATCACCGCTCGCGTTTTTTTCCACTCGGGCCACACCTGCGCATAGCCGGTAAATGACACGAGAATAGTTTTGCTTTCGTAGCCGGCTTTGTCCTCCATCATTCCGTCTACAAGTGGAAAATGTGCGTGTGTGCTCGTGTGACCAAATGTTTCTACATGTGCAAGTGCCACGGTTTGTTTTCTTGTTTATGTTGGAGCTCCACACCCCCGACACCTTCCTCCCCCTGCTGCTGCTGCTGCTCTCCGCTTAATCTTCGTTGTGCGGAGTGAAAACTCAGGAGGGTGGCACGGGAGCCGCGAGTCCACGCCTCCTCGACGTAGAATCGACTTTTGGCCGGGAGCCTCGCTGCGCGTGCGTCACACGTGACGCCTGAGACTCGCTCGCAGAGTTGTCGCGTGAGCTCAGCTGACCACCGCAACCCGAAGATGTGTGCTCACACAGGGCTTAGTCTTCCGACTGAATGCTTTCCGGGTCGCTCGTAGACAATGATCGGGTAATTGAGGAACGCAGACTGCTACGGTGCGGTCACGTCAAAGGAATGGCACCAAACAGGAATCCAGCCAAAGCAATGGCGATTTTAGTGGAGGATAACAGAGGCAGATTAATACTCTTTGGTTCTTTCGGTAAAGTCGCATTTATAATGAAGGAGAAAAGTATTTGATCCCCTGCTGATTGTGTACGTTTGCCCACTGATAAAGAAATGATCAGTCTATAATTTTAATCGTAGGTTTATTAAAACAGTGAGAGACAGAATAACAACAACAAAAATCCAGAAAAAACGCATGTCAAAAATGTTATAAATTGGTTTCCATTTTAATGAGGGAAATAAGTATTTGACCCCCTCTCAATCAGAAAGATTTCTGGCTCCCAGGTGTCTTTTATACAGGTGATGAGTTGAGATAAGGAGCACACTCTTAAAGGGAGTGCTCCTAATCTCAGCTTGTTACCTGTATAAAGGACACCTGTCCACAGAAGCAATCAATCAGATTCCAAACTCTCCACCATAGCCAAGACCAAAGAGCTCTCCAAGGATGTCAGGGACAAGATTGTGGACCTACACAAGGCTGGAATGGGCTACAAGAC